ATTTAAATTTAAAATTTTATTTTAAAAAATTAAATTTTTTCTACTTGGGTTCGTTGCTAAGAATTACGTGAGAAACCAGTGAACTATTAACGTGAGGGGAAGAAACTTAATTTTTTTAAAATAAATTATCAAATTTAAATTTTATAAATAAAAAAGTAAACATTGATAAAATACTTTTTTTTATAATGTTTAACCTGATTTAATTTTAAGTTAGTAAAAATCTAACACGTTACTAAATATCACTTGATTTTGAGTTAACAAAAATCTAACATGATTTCGGTGTTAAAAAAAGAAAAAACCTACGTGAGAGATTAATCTCCCGCAATCTAAGAAAACAAAACTTTTCTGCCGAACGACCGAACCGTCTTTTTATTCATTTTTCCCTCTCTAGAGCTGGAATCGGGCCCACATATTTTTTCTATTGCCCTTTTGGATCAAAAGCCCGCAGATTCACACGTAAATGTTTGATGTGATCCCTTTTGCATTGTGCTAAGTTATACCATACGCGCACTCCGCCTCGTCTTCTTCCTTGCGGTGGCAGTCGCCGGTGCTGCGTACTGTTTCATCATCGCGTCTGAAATATTCATCTTTTTTATTTTCTTAATCGTTTTCTATTTCCATGCATGTGAGAATTGCAGCAAGCATCCCTTGATTCTGTTTCTTTTTCTCGCAGTTAATCCATCTGGAAATTTAGCACCATCTCTTGATTCTCTTTCCATTTAATTTTCATGCATGAGATGATATCACAGTGGGAAAACAATTAGAATTCCAACTGAAAATGGATTTTCTTGTTTTATTTTTATTCTTTGATTAATTGTTCATTCGAGATGGAACCAATTAAATCAAATTTGGGTGCGATAATGGGTTACTTCACCAAGCCGTCGTGGGCTTTTCTGTTTCTTCTTTTCACTTTCCTGGCGATTCTATCCCTCCAAATCTCAACAAAATCAATTTTTCCCATCCGACTCGTCTCTGTTTCGGGATCATCCACGCCTGGTATATCGGGCGGAGAAGACCCGGCAAGCTGTGTCGGATTTTTTGGTGTGATGCCGGCGAGAAAATATGTAATGTCGATAAAGGACTTCGGGGGAGTTGGCGACGGGAAAACGTCCAACACCGAAACGTTTCGGAAGGCAGTACGCTACATGCAACGTTTCGGAGAAAAAGGTGGGTCCCTGCTAAACGTTCCCAGAGGGAGGTGGCTCACCGGGAGCTTCAATCTTACGAGTAATTTCACCTTGTTTCTTGAAGAGGGTGCTGTTATTTTGGGGTCTCGGGTAAGTAATTCTGCTGTTTTAAAAAAAAAAAAAAAATTATTTCCCTCTTTTGCACTTTGATTGATTTTGGGATTCATATTAGTTTGTGAAGATTTAATTTAAGTTGGTTGATTTGTGGGCGTTTTAATTTCTAATAAAATTTTAAGATGGGATTAATAGAAATTGGATTTCTGGTTTTATTCACTTCATCTCACGAAAATTTTACCTTTACCTTTGTTATTTTATTCTTGATTGTGGGTTTATTCTAGAGATGGGATAGTGAAGCTTGTAGATCTTTGAGAAGGTGGAGTAGGAAGGATATGGAGGAATGGAAATGAAGAAAAGCTTTATATCATAATTGGGTCAAAAAAGGCAGACACTAATTCAAGTGTTTGCTTGAAATGCTGCAAAAGTTGTGTCATTAAGAATATCAGGTTTATCATGCCTAGCATCTTTAACATTTTTAGTTGAAAGAGAAAAAGAGTTTGGTACGTTGTGATGTGCATTTGTAACTGAAGGGCCCCACCACACCAATCTCCCTTCCACTTTACAGATTATTATTATTATTTTTTTTTTTTTGGTACATACTTTACAGATGATTTAGGTTTGGCAATTTTGTTGTGTGTTTTCTTGGTTCTGTTGAAAATGAAAATTAGTTTCCCTTGAAATGCCTAAATGAGCTGGTATTTGATTTGTCAGTTCTTCAAGAGCAATTTCTTGTTTTCAAGACTCTGGGGTTATCACCACAAACGCATAGAAATGTCTTTATGCCAAATTCAAGGAGAGAACTAAGCGGTTGTTATTGATGAACTATATTTTTTGTGGAATCATCTAAAGTCTAATTGAAGGGAAAAAAAATAAAAATCTGCTAGTGTCTGAGCATTTTACTTACTGATTTATTGTTGAAATGGGTTCTTAATTTTCATCTCTGGTGTATAATAGGACCCAGAGGAATGGCCTATCATAGATCCATTGCCTTCTTATGGTAGAGGGAGAGAGAGATTAGGAGGAAGACATATAAGCCTTATTCATGGAAATGGCCTAACCAATGTTGTCATCACAGGTACTAATTATTTGCTTCTGATTCTTTGTTATTTATTTAAGGGATGAGAAGACCGAGTTGCAATGCTTTGATTATTTATCAAAACAAAGAATAAGAAGAGTTTCTTTAATTTATTATTAGAGTTAAATATTAAGGTTCAACTTAGCTTTGCAGTAATTAACTTCTACTCTTCATTGTGTTTTTGAGAGGAAATTTTCTGATGTTATGGAGAAGCAATACTCCTCTTGACTGCTCTTAGCTATTAAGTTGAATATTATGATTTAGAGAGATTCTCTCAACCTTCTGTATTGCTTTCTGTCAGTAACTATTTTCCAATATTTATTCCCAAGAGGTGGTGAAATGCTAAGTGTTACGATTATTGCATTTATAAGAAAAGTGGAGTTACTGGTAGCAAATTTAATTATATAAAATCATTAATTAGCAAAGCCTACCATAAAATAAATTGAGTTATGCAGCGGGCTGCTATCAGTATTTAATTTCATGGGGAATTTAATATCATTGTTACAACTGCACCCATAAAATCTACATTTTGAAGCACTTCTACCATCTGCAAGGGTTAAATAAGTTGCTTTTGTTTTTGCAGGTCAGAATGGGACAATTGATGGTCAAGGGAACATGTGGTGGGATCTATGGTGGAACAAAACCTTAAAGTACACAAGAGGCCACCTCTTAGAACTAATGAACTCTGATTATATTCTTGTTGCCAACCTAACCTTCCTGAATTCTCCATTTTGGACCATCCATCCTGTTTATTGCAGGTCTGACATCAGTTTTTTTTTTTTTTCTTTTTTTCTTTTTGGTCCCGGACATCCTGTTTTTGTGCCTCTTATTATTTGTTTCTTTTTTGCTCTCTATTTATTTTATTGGCTTTTATTTTTCATTGCACGGTTGTTTGACAAGCTCTGAATTCACTACTTTTGTTCAGGGATAAAATGTCAGTAGCTTGGATTGGTTTTGAATATGAAATGATTGGCCTTAGACTGGATGATTGTTCTGAATGTTTTGCAAGATTATTAAACTGTTTATTCTGTCTTATTTAGAAAACCTTAGCGGAAAATCTAAAACATGACATTCTAAAATGGATTTAGTAGTACAGTTATTTCTGTTTTTAAGTTCACAGTGTCACTTGTCGCTGTCCTTTTCCCAACTGGAGATTTTGTTTATTCTAGACAGTATGTGCTCATTGTGAATGCAAGATATAGAACAAATTTGAAACAAATTCAGATTACTGACTTTCTTTCTATGATCTTCATGATTGTTCTCTTCTATTCTAAAGTGATGTTTTTTGCTCATTTCAGCAATGTTGTTATTAAAAATATGACCATTTTGGCCCCCCTCAATGCCCCAAATACTGATGGAATAGACCCAGGTAATGCTAATACTATTATAATTCTTTTATTATATCTTTTGTTGTGTGGTCATATGAATTAAGGCGGAAGAAGATGAGGAACTTAAGATGGAGATGTCTTTACCTTTCCTCGTTTCTCTTCTAAAATTGTGCAGACTCGTGTACCAAAGTTTGCATTGAGGACTGCTACATTGAGAGCGGGGATGATCTTGTAGCAGTGAAGAGTGGGTGGGACCAGTACGGTATTGCCATGGCACGTCCAAGCTCAAACATAATAGTAAGGAGAATCTCAGGCACTACCCCAACTTGTTCTGGTGTTGGTATAGGTAGCGAGATGTCGGGGGGCATTTTTAATGTAACTATTGAAGATTTGCATGTTTGGAATTCGGCAGCTGGAGTGCGTATAAAAACTGACAGAGGTAGGGGAGGATATCTTGCCAATATCACTATAAATAAAATAACAATGGAGAGAGTCAAGATACCAATTAGGTTCAGTCGAGGTTCTAATGATCACCCGGATGAAGAATGGGATCCAAAAGCAATTCCTAAAGTAAATGGTATTTTTATCAGTAACATTGTTAGTTTTAATTCAACAAGAGCCCCTATTTTAGAGGGTGTCCAGGATTCATCTTTTGAACGGATCTGCCTAGAGAATGTTACACTACTTGGGCTTGCACAATCTGCAACCTGGCATTGTGAGTTTGTTTCAGGTTTTACCAGAGAGGTGTTTCCCTTGCCATGTCCCCAGTTGCAGGACAATAGCTCTTTACTACAGTGCTTGTAGGCATGGGCTTCTGTCGTCAGTTCCAGATTGTGAATATGAAAAATTAAGGTTTAAATAGCCTTTCAGCAAGAAGTGTATTTTTAGCAAATTGGACTTGCAGGGAACTTTTTCACGAACAGGAATGGCTAGAGCTCGTGTTGTGGTTGTTGTGAATTCTCTAGCACTGATGACTTGATAGTGGGTCCCAGCCTGCAATATTGTGACATCGATCTATGGTGCAGTTGGATTTGCTTGTCTTGACAGGTTTGCCTGGGGAGATGACACTGGATTTTTTCAAGATAGGTTATTTTGTTAATTCTTCACTCTGCTGTCTGATCTTAATGATACTTACTGATGCCGCATATTCTCAGTCGTTGAACATATGCATGATGGTCGTTTGAACCTTAGTGAAGCAAACATTTGTTTTACAGAAAACTGACAGAAACATTACATATTCACATGTATACAATACCCAATTCATTTCATTTCTGAAAATTTTTGCCTTTCAGTTTCCCTTATCATCCTTACTTTTTCAGTGTTCACATGTATACTATCCTTCATATATTGCTCGTAGTTGGTTTTTGTTTATAGAGAGCAAGTATAGTTTTATGTTGGAATCCAAGGATGTTCACGGTAGCGTTTGTTATTTGTTAAAGACAAGTACTTGAAGTGTGAAGAACCACAAGAAGCCCCCATGGGGATGTCTTCAGTGGAGACTGGAGAGCCCAAGTTAGAGGTTTAGGTTCAAATCTTGATACGTGTAAAGAGCAATTATTGAAAGGGGGTTATTTATTATTTTATAACCTGTCATCTAATGTAATAAAAGCCATGGAGAAAAAGATCAGATAATAGATGGAGACGACTCTCTTAAAATGGGAAAATTAGATACAAGTTGAGACAGAGTACATGGTTTAAGTGAGAGAACACAAATGAATTTCTTCACCACTTCCAGAAAACATTGGAACCACACTTGAATTTGTCCTTCCCTTTGCACTCCAATTCTAAGTCATCTGAGATGAATGGAACTCTCTACATCAACAAAACCCAGAAAAGGAAAAGGGTCAACCAAAAATCATTAGTAGGGCATCAAAAGAACAATGAAAAAGGACATGTATGATCAAAACCTTCTGCTTGGCAAGATCTTGGCAGCCGGTAAAGTTTTCAGGGAACTTGCATGAGCCAAACTCAACTGTGTATGCTCTAGCAAAGTTTGCTCCACTTGTTGCCAACCTTTTCTGGTCATTCAATTCCTGCACCAACAAGAACAAAATTTAGGCAATCTGATCTTCTTTATAAATTATCCTGCCAAATAAAATCAACTTAGCCAACAAACCTTGTTAGCTTTGCTCTTCTCGAGGTAGTCTTCAATGACTCCGGCATTGGCGGAAGAAGTGGCAGCGGCAGTGGTGAAAACGGCGGCGGCCAAATAGAGCATTGCAGATCTCCTTCCTTCACAGCCCCTTGTTTCTTTGGAATCAGCTTTCAACAGTTGGGCTCTGATCACCGGCATCTTGTGGCCAGTCACGACTGGGGATGCAACTGAAGGCACAGCAAGCTTAGCATTGAGCTCAGATGATCCTGAGCCTGAGATGGCATAGCTGCATGCCAAAACACTTGAGTTCATGGCTGCCATTGCTGCAAAACTTCAAGTAGTTCCTTTTTTGGTAAGGTTTTCGAGTATAATAGGTGGTGGTTAATGGGCGTTCTGGTTTGAGGGTTGAGGATATTTGATAAGGAGAGATGATGAATGGGATAATAGATTGTGGTGAGAGTGTGGATAAGGTGAGATTGCCTCACTCCTATTGGCAAGCCTTGTTTTCTATGAACCTACAGACTTCAATCATGGGTCCCCTTTGGGAGCAAAACTTGTGCTTCATATCTCCTCTCTCCCTCTTTCTTCTTCGGAGTCAAGGACAAAATCAAAATTGACTCCCGGGAACCCTTCTAGCATATACTTAGCATACCATGGAGACAAGATTATGAGAGTCAAAAGTCCAGAGGTGCATCTTGAAAATGTTATCAAGTTCGCATTAAACGAATGATGAATTGAAAGTTTAGTGAAATTTGGCATATGCAACATAAGCTGTCTTGGGGATTACTGTCCACACCCGCACAAGATTAAAAATGTTAAATTTATTATAATTAAATTGTATTTTAATTATTTAATTTTAATAACCACCCAACATACAACATTTTTTAGAAATAATTATAGAGTTTTATTAACAAATATAATAAATTCACCTTTTTATCATAAATATGTTGAAGAAATAAAAATTATCATTTAATTTGTCAACTATTTAATTAAATTTATTTACGTTGTAATGATATTAAAATTAAAATCAATTTTTATACGTTTTATATCAATTTATAATGAAAAGATACTCTAAAATAGGATAGTAACTAAAAAAATCCATAATTATAAGATATTAAAATAATTTTTGTGATTGCACAATAAAAATGAAACCTGCTAAGCACAACACTATACAACAATTTTAAACACAATCATAATTCACATTAACTATATGTATCAAATTCAAAACTATACATACATCACCCTGCTTCGCTAATCAAATGCATGTTTAATAGCTCCTCTCAATTCTCCCAATACTGAGCTATAACATCAAAATCATACTTAAAGTACTGTGCATTCCATCATCCCAACATTTTAAGCAGAAACGAAATGCTTTCTCATTAAACAATTTCGTTTTATAATACATTTAAATAAATAACATGGGTTAAAAAAGGTCTAAATTTTATCATTTAAAGATATAAGTTTTATGAGGTTTTTAAATTATAGAGTAAACTATCATTTTTTTTTAATTTAAAGGGTTAAAAATTTTTGGTTTTTTTGTTCAAGGATATAAAGTTTGTCTTATTCCAATTAAGTTTTTAGTATTTTATAGGGGCTGATTGGGAGAGCTAAATTTGCTTTAAACAAATTATTCTCTCAGAGAATTAAAATTTTATTAATCGTCAATTTTCAAAAAATAAAAATAAAATTTTGTTGTGGAAAGTTTAAAAGTTAACTTTTAAAGTTAATTTTTTAACAAGTTTTGAAAAAATTATAAATTTAAATTTTCTCAAAACTAATTAAGAATTTATTTTAAAAGTTAATTTCAAACTTTTTTAACAAATTTTTAAATTTATGAGAAAGAATTTTATTTAAAGCAAATTTACTTTTTTATCGTGTTTAAATTGTTTTTATGTTTTTATTTAATGACATGTGATTATAGATTGACATTTCTATTTTATATTAATATAATAACATTGCGACTTTAGATGGTTTTATTTTTCCGTTAGTTTTCTTTGTTTGTTGAATCCATTGAAATTTACTTTGTCAATCTGTCATACAATGAGACCAATCTAAGTCCAACTGTTTTGCACTCAAATATGAAATAGGAAAATTTCAAAGAAAATTGGAAAATAAACATGAAATAAATTTTTTTAAAAATTACAACTACTCGTCAGGAAAATTCAGGCAAAACCATAAAAGACTGCATTCATCTGGAGTAATTTAAAGTTAAAACAACAATAATGAATGACTTGGCTCTTCTCCTTAAAGCCTAATAAAGACATGAACTAGAACTGCATTGCCTAATCCATTACATGTATAAAATACAAGGGGGAGGGTAAACTAGTTCCCCCGTACAGTATGGTACGGCCAGAAAAATGTGGTGTAGCAGCATCTCTCTTTTTTCCCATTGTTACAACAAAACAAGGCACCCATCGAGGTCTGGTCCACCCTCAGAGGACTAACTTGATTGCCCACTAATCTTGATTCGTTTTCTTTCCCCTGGAAACTGCTTTGATTGATTGCCCCATATTGATGATATGCTCAAAAGTAGGTGCATACAAGTTACACAGTATGCAACTAATGATGCTAAGTGGTCAAGACTGAGATCTCTCCCGCATTTTGGCTCTAGCAAAAAATACTCCCGCTAAAAGACCTGCAAAATGTAATCCATTTTGGTATGCAACAACAAAACTGCAATAAAACGACCACTTAAAAGTGTAGTGATAATTTGGAACAGGCATGTGTGCTGTAATGAGGTTTCTGTGAGAATTCTATCACATTGTTGAAATGGTTAATTGAAGAGACAACTTACCAAAGAAGATGCTAGCAGAGTTCTCCAAACTGGTTGGTACTTTGAATAGAACAATGCCGGCGATGGACAAAGGTATCTTATTGAGTGATCCCACAAGGCTGCGGATCACAAAAATCATAACAAGCCATTTAGTAAAATTGCATAAAACCAGGAACACCATTCATTAACAGAAAATGAAGTAATTCAGTCACGGTAATTACACAAGCCAGACAGTTATTAACTGAATCTCAAATCAAATTCATCATCAAGATATCACCAAATTCATTAGTGACTAAACCCAGCCGACTTTTGAAACCCAAGATCATGTTTAGTTAAGCCAGCTTATATCCAACTAGGACATGACCTGTTCAGTCACACTGCCGACTATATTAAACAAACTAGTATATATTTCTTTGATGGACAAGTCTGCATACAATCTCTGGTTACCACAAAAATTTGGTATTTTCTCTATTAATTCTGCTTACCATATTATTAGGGAGAATGGAGGAAAGCTGCCTGGCATATATCTGGTCCACTTCAATAATCCCTAAGCATGCATTTATTTTGTAGTTGCTTATGGGAAATAAGATTAAAGACTAGATGCCTGTTAGTTAGACATGGGATGCTGGATGTGTATTTTGTGCTGCTGGAATGGATTCCTGTCAGAATCTATTCTTTGAGTGTGAATTCTGCAAGGATGTATGGAGCTCTACTCTTCCATCAATGGGAATTAATAGAAGGCCTTTGGATGGAGTGAAGAATGATTATGGTTTCAGGGATATGTAAAGGGGCTAAAGCATAAGAGCCAGAAAATTGAAAGCTTTGCTAGCTTCTGCAGTTTATTGCTTACGGAATGAGAGAAACAACAGGATTTTTACAGGGAAACTGCCTACTGCTGAAGCTTTGGTTATGTGGATTACTCAAGTAGTTACTATGAGAATGTCTTACTCAGTTTATTGCTATGAACACCTGGGAATGCCGGGTTAAATGTGTAATAGATTGATCTTTAATGCTAATGGAAATGTTTGCCATTGTCCCAAAACAGTCTGCATACAATCTCCATAGTCAATAAAGCCTGCATTTGTTTATCAGGGCAAATGTTCATTCTTTCATGGATAAAAGTTCTGTTTTTAGGCAAGGTGTTTCCATCACAATTACGACAAGTCCAAGGTACCTGCAGTAGTCCTTGGGTATTTTCATCTTACCTGTATGTAGTTGCTCCTGTTTGATGAAGAAACCACATTGATGTGAAGCTGATTGCAAGACCCAGGAATCCACTTAATGTCATTACTAGCCAGAAGTCAGGTAACCTCAATAGTGGCCTGTCCAGACAATTCAAAATCATGAGATCCAATAAGAAGTTACCAAAAGAGCAAATGAATCTATTATTTATCATGATCAGTGAAGATAACACGTTTAACACATGTTATATGCACACTGATTAGAATATGATATCACAGACAAACAACACACATTGGTTTTCAGTGGAGAAAATTATGTGAACAATAAAATTATAAATTTTGATTGAAAGGACTTATCATTTCTAAACTTAACATCTCGTGAATCACAAAAGTATAGTGAATGAAAAACACTCACGTCTGAGATAGATAATCAACCTCACGGAAAACAAAAACAAGAAGAATCCCCAAAGGCAATGAAAGCATGTTATTTAGCAAGACCATTGAAAACTCATTCAAATTTCCAGATCTGGTAACTTGCTTTGCTGTATCCATGACCCTACGTAGCGTCAACTGCACCAAATCATAGCACACAGATCAAAAGTATCAAATAGCTGCAATTGTATAATTAAACTAAAAATGCATGAAGGCATAAAAAAGATTACCCACAATTCAGAAGAGCCTTGTTAAATTTGCTCTTTCCTTAACTCCCAAGTCCAGATATGTGTGTTTGAGAATTGAGACAGACTTTGGACGTTTAGAACTAATTTTGCAGGATGTTCATATGGTACTAATTAATTAACTTGTCAAAATGCTCTTCTAAATTAGAGGGATCAGATTAATGGAGGAATGAATATTCATAGCTATGGGTTGTTTCTTTATTTTATTTCCTTATTTACATGGTAAGATTTTTTTTCATTATTTTTTATATCAAAAATGTATTTTTCATTCTGGAATGCACAAAAAAAGTGCAGTCTAGGTTATGAATTTACCAAAGCACCCTTAGTAAAACTTCTCATTTTAATTCATTAATGGCATTTTAGTGATTTCAGTGCTGGACTGCATTTTAAGTGCAGTCTGGACTGAAAAGCATTGAACTCTTTTTATGGTTAGGTAAAATTATATAGCTAAAAAAATTCAAGGTCTTCTTTCAATTGTAATTTATTTGCCTTGTTTCCCATATGCTGCTGAGTTAACAGCTATATAAGTTGTATTTTCAGACATAAAAAAATGATAAACTGATTTACTAAGCCAGCGGCCTCCTAAAAAACAATAAAAGGCAAAATCCTCAAATTAAACAGTATATACTCACAGAATATGCTGCAGTTAAGAAACAATTTATGATTTGCCATCCATATCCAACAGCATGAAACGACAGATCAGTGATGCCTCCAGATATGGCTGAAATAATCTGCAATATAAAAAACCCAAAATCTTCTTAAGCTGATTTGCTTTCAAATATATAATGATAATACAACATATTTGCATGTTAAGTAAGACCCACATTCACAAATAATGAATCTATCTTTACATTGTCACACTCTCTTTCATGAGTACTCCAAGAATTGGAGACTGCATTTGGGGATGGTTTCACGGTGCCTTTCCACAACAAAATGTTAATATTTTATAATTAAATTGATTTTAACTAATGTTTTACGTATTTTAATAATTATACAAATTTACAACACTTCTCCAAAACAATTATCAATCACTAACATTATTTTTTCCATAGCACAAGAACAGTCAGAGCCACAAAACCATAAAGCAATCCCAAAGGAAACCCTCACTACTCAATAAGTCAATACGAAATTGCTATTAACAAGTCTGTTATTAAGTTTCAGCTAATAATAACTGAACCACTTTCGCACCTTGATAACATGTTATATGGAAGCAAGATAATTAAAAAGAAATTTCAACATCACCTTAGATGTCATAACTGTTTACTAAAAGAAAGAACAAAAAGAGATGCACTACCAGATGCAGCAAAAAGTGAAAATTTATGACGAGCAAAAAATCAATTTAAGTTATTGACTAGCATTCTCGTATTAGTCAACTACATTTTGAGCCAAAAAAGAAAAAACCTACCATTAGGAACAGAGCAGCCCAGACTCTGTTATCATGGTGCTTATTGAACAGGTACATCTCACCAAGTGCTGTTATTACATTTGTGACATTCTTCAGGACTGTGACCATGGCAACATTAATATATTTCAAACTGCAGAATAACAGAAACAGTCAAGCTGGAGCCTACACGATAAGGAGTGAATATGATTTGGGATTTCACTAACTGTTCATGACAATGCTGTTCTCACAGAAATAAAGCCAGAACACATTTCAATTGAACACCAGTATGCAATAATAACTGACCAGACACCTTCTAACATATGCTATGCGTAGAAGAAAGGAAAAAGAAATGCTATAGACCAACTAATTTTAGGAACATTCCACGAAAATCCACTAGAAAACTGTACAACATGGAACTTTGCTGGTCAATTATCATGACAATAACATGTTATTTAATGGAATCATCCCATGCAAAACAGAGCCTACTAATGATTAACCTATATCATGAAAAATATAAACATGTCACAATCCAGACAACAACTTTCATTCTTCATACATCCTCACAAAATATTCAAAGCAAAAAATTTCAAAATTCTATTGGCACACATTACGTATGTTTAATCCTAGGCACTAGGAGTAAATGTGTGGAGAGCTTCTAATAATTAAATAAGTACTACCTCCACAAAACTGAAGCTAAAAATGCATGGCATTAGCAGATGAGAACTTCACATATTTTGACATAACCTTGCAAGAACTAATGAAAAAGTACTAGGTGTGCTCAGTCAAATTAGTATCAAACGGTTAGCAAGTAGAAGACAGAGCGAAGAGATGTACTCTATCCCCTATGCTTCAGAGATAGAGCATTACTGTTTTGAAGGCAGATAGTGTAGCATGCAAAAAATTTCTACATCCTACTCATTGACGATGATAGGAAATATGATAATGACTAGAAACGATTTCTGAAAAGAAGGGGGGAAAACATAGTAAACAAAGAAATAATGGGTGGCCATAAGCATGTAATAATAGCCATCAAATAGAGTAACAGAAAAAAGCAAACTAAGATTTTGGGCTACTTTGACTAAATCTGTCCAGCGTTTTCTAGAATCAAGAAAGCCAGACCAAATTATAGGAAGAAATTTCAAAATGTGTTGTTAAATTGGTTAGAAGTTTTGACATAACTGCTTTCTGTATGACAATTGTGCAAATGCAGAATCATCTCTGATTCTCCATTTTTATTGTGTGCACAAGAGTATGACTAGGGAAAGAGAAGACGGCCTCTAATCATAATTATAGCATCATATAAAATCTATAGTAAAATCTATCTTTCTTTGCTCCTTATTTTTCCCTACTTTCAAGCCTCCACCATGAATTACCATCCATTATCAACCCCCTAGTAAGACCTTAATTTATAGTCTTTTGCTTCAATTGGCCAAACGGTATGAGTGATTTGAACCATGCTAGAAACACAGGTTCAATTCTCTCTAGCACCATCTCTGTAAGAAAAATTTCCAACAGGCCACACCCACCATCCAATGATCGTAAACCAAGCAGTTTGCGGATACCCATTAGACTAGCCCAGCCAAAAAGTTTAGTTAACCATGTTATCCACACCCACCACCCAATGCTTGTAAGCAAGGCTGTTTGCAGGTGGGCATTAGACTAGTTGAGGTCCAGCCAAAAGAAGAAAACATAATGTTAGAGCGAAAAGTAGCTTGAAACCATTCCAATGCAGAATTGGCAATGTCTTGATACATTTTTAAATACCATAACTAGTAATTCAACCAGAAAGACTGCTAGCCATCATGCTGTCTGTGGGAAAAATAATGAACCCAAAAATAAAATAACTTAAGGGAAGGAAAGAAAAGGAGCGAATTTTCTCCAATTGGTAAAAAAACAAAAGAATGAAATTATAATCATTTTTCTTGGCAGGTAAAGTTTACTGAATAAAGAGCATGAGATGAAGCATTATCATTTTTGAAACTCAATCTAGTTGTCAGTTAAAATTTCCTTAGAAAATTAAAAGTATAAAATAACAGTATATGCTTGCACATGCTTGTGCCGACAAACAAAAAGGACTGATTTACTAGCATAGTGACAGAAGCTTATGAAGCATGGACACTCTTCTTTGGTCAGAGTGTCTGTCTGACATGTGTCCGACGTGAAGACACATTCTACACACTTGTCAGACAAGGACTTTCAGAGTATCCCTTTTTTTTCTTTTTTTTTTTTTAATTTCAGACATGCAGGGAGAGAACACGCTATTGGACACACAGGGACACATAAGTCAATTACATTAAAGAAAAGGATCAATTTCTAATATTTACAAACTTGTATTAACTTTCGGGATGATTGTGATGAATGTAATGATGTGGAAAGTGAAGTAGTAGGAAATGATTGAAAGTGTGTTTAGAACATGGTCTTGGATATTTTGAAATGCAGTTTGATAGGTAATGGACCTATTAATGCCATGAAAGACTATTACTTCTTTGTTCTTAATGTACATTAAATGTACATATCAATTGATCTTACCATTTCATTTACATTTTTTTTGCTTAATGAAAATTATTGTTTAACGTGTGAAGTGTTAAATTCATGAGTCCTAATATATTTGAGATAGTATGAGAATTTTTATTATTTATATATATTTAAAAAGTAAAAACTATAATTTTAGTTTTGTTTCTTTGACATGTTGTATCCTAAACTTTTAGAAAAAAAACATGTACATGTGTCCATGTCATATCTATATCACATTTCTGTGCCTGTGCTTCTTAAAACAAGTGTCAATTAGATATTTTGGAGTTGAAATTGATATATGCATCTTTATTAACTTCATAAAAGAGGAGTGCACAGAGAACCAAATGCTGTAAATACTTCATACCTGAACATGCTTGTAATAAGCATTCCGACAAATATGGCGTTCACTGGTAACCAGACCTTAATCAATCTCCATGTTAATGGTTCTGTTGTTATTATGCCCATAAAACTCATTATAGACACAATAACAACTGAGATAAAGTTCTGCAGCCACAGAACAGAATTCATCTTAGTTACAAAACTGTTTTAAACAAGCAAATAAAATGCAAGATGAACATAGCCACCACTACAACATAAAAATTAAAAACCATATTTTAACTAGAAATATCACCTACTAATGTAAATTACCTGGTAAAGCATCAAAGATATCCCAGCATTGAAATCATAACTGGAGAGCACAAACTTGTTTACCAGTATCATGCTGCAGGAGGAAACACAATATGCAAGGCCAGACAATAATGCCTGATTGTGTATCTTAACTATCCTGTTAGTATGTGTCGATTTATCCCATTCTTTTTCCAACTTGCCACCTTCCAAGTCAGCTTCATCATTTTCAACTGACCTCATCGCAAATGATGACCTATGTGAAGAGAAAAGCTTAACTCAATACCAATTATTAGGAGTTGCTTTATCTAATCTGCTAATAACAGATTGCTCTGGCCCCACTAATCTAACATGAAAGAAAAGCAGAGAAGACAACTAAACGAGCTGAGGATGAACCCTTAGGCAAGGGAATGGACTCATGACTATTAAAAAAAAATTTATGATAAATTTCTTGAAATCTGATAGATACAAATTAGACCATTTTGTAAAGATTAAAAGAACAAACACAAACAGACAGAGAACTTATATTTGAACTCCGAAGTCAAATATAAGGAGATCATAAAAAAATTTTAAAAAGCATAACGGCATTTCCACAGTCAATAACATCATATTAAAGGATGTAAAAGAAAAATGAAAAACAATAATATCAGATACAAAATGGAAGGAATTAAGTTATGCAACACACCAAAATACACACAGAACATCGGTTATGGTATTGAGCACCTCAGTGCAGCAATGCTTAACTAAGGAAAACTTACCTGCTGACTAAATCTCTTCTTCCTGGACTAGGTGTTTGATCTAGCACTCTGGTTGACTCGTGCAATTTAAGAGTAAGCTTACTGATGTCTTCGGCGTGATTCCTTTCAAAAATATCAGGAGAATCAATAGAAACACCTAAAGACAAAGCTCTTGAAGATAAAAGATAGATGCAAGCACCTGTTTAAGCCCCAAAAGGAAGGGGATAAGTACAGAATAGAGCATAGACAGTAGCAGTAGTAGAACCATCATCTACCAATTCTTAAAGGACAGGATGAATATAAGAAGATATATGGTAAGACCAGATGGGGAGGAAGAAAATGAAAGGAAAACAGAAACTGGACACCCCTTCATGAGTTCCATATCTGGGGACACACACCGACCACTGGACACCACCCCCCCCCCCCCCCCCCCAAAAAAAAGAAAAAAAGAAACAAAAAACAAAACACCGTGCCCAGGTGGTTACAAAGTGCACTATATCCTAGATTCATACACTATGCTAATGATTGCAAAAGAAGTCCTCCCTGGGTTTTAACAAGCAAAATGTATTTTCTGTCTGGCTCTTCAGAAACTACAATCTACATCTCCTAAACACAGAGAAGCAGATTCTTAACTTGCCTTATTTTGAATTTGAACACAAATATTTACAAAATATTTCATTGGTACCAGAGTGCTTAATTCGTGGCCAAGAGAAAAAAAAAAAAAAAGAGTTCTTAATTAAATATTTTATTTCTACGAGAATGCTAGAAGTTTTCATTCTTCTAATGCTTTTAAAGGAGAACTGTTATGGTTCAAATTAATACCACATCATCTAGCTTTACAGCATCAAAAAGCTGGAGCATTTTCCACTTTGGAGAAAACAAAATGCCCATAAAATCAGTGACCCATTTTCTAAATGGCATATCACTACTTGATCAGTTAGTATGATGCATTAACAAACCCACATGGAAATTTCCCACATTAAGCAAGATGTTAGCACTGAACATGAGATGCAGTAGAAATAATCCCTTGAACATTCCCTTTTGAAAAGATATTTGGCTAAGCATATTCTATCTAACTAAATGCTTTCCATGCTCATGGAGAAATCAAGGATGCGATGAAGAAGTAGATTAAAAAAGATAGTTCACTTTCAGACTCAAATATCTTTCAACAGTAGACAACCTTCTTTCCGAACTCAAATTTCATGAACAACTTGAAGAGAGCTAAAACTAGAAATTACTGATTCCTTATTAACTTGAGAACGATCAAGTAATTACCCAAAAAAGAAAAATTGTCAACCCAGAAAGCAAAAAACTGTAGAGAGAAAAAGAAACATTAAAACCAAAAAGAGGGAGAGATTACCTTGAACCCATTAGAGCCCAAAGCTCAATAGCTTAGACACACGCAGAGAGCATCTGATTACAAACAAAGGCGTGAACTTTGAGAACAACTGCATCCGGATGAAACACTTTGAAAAGTCTAAAAGCAAGAAAATTTGAAAAAGGAAGCGAAAAATAAAATAAAATAAAAGCACCACCTTCTCAGGATTTGAGCGATAAAAGCAATGGAAGAGACGAAGAATTAAGGGAAGTTGGAATGGGAAGAGTTGAAAACTTAGATGACGCATAGAATGAGAGGAAGTTCTTTTTAGATTTGTGAGAAATTTATGAAGGGGCTCTGACGATAACGTCACCAAAAAAATAGTTGCTTTTGAGACTTTTATTTATTTATTTATTTACTTACTTACTA